TTTTGCTAACTCTCTGCTAATGTTTTGCTAACTCTCTGCTAATGTTTTGCTAACTCTCTGCTAATGTTTTGCTAACTCTCTGCTAACGTTTTGCTAACTCACTGCTAACATTTTGCTAACTCTCTGCTAACGTTTTGCTAACTCTCTGCTTACATTTTGCTAACTCTCTGCTAATGTTTTGCTAACTCTCTGCTAACGTTTTGCTAACTCACTGCTAACATTTTGCTAACTCTCTGCTAACGTTTTGCTAACTCTCTGCTTACATTTTGCTAACTCTCTGCTAACGTTTTGCTAACTCCCTGCTAACGTTTTGCTAACTCTCTGGTCTTTAACAGGTTTGGTTTGTTGCCTGTTGGGTTTAGTTGTTTAACATCTGAGTGAAGTTCTGTCTAAAGATCCAAACCTTCACATAAGTACCAGGTTTGGTTCTGATCACTCCTGAGCTCACCTGGTGACCCACCTCTTCAGGATCAAAATCTGGTTGAGGATCAGGGTCTTCACAGCTCCTCGTCTACCTGCTGATTTTTATTTCTCTTTCAGGTGAAAACTCAAGAAGCTTCACCTCCTCTGCTGGTTGGAGTGTCTTGATGCCTCCTCCTGTTCCTCAGCAGCAGCGCCCCCTGCAGGTCCTCAGCAGACCCTGTTTGACCTGAAAACCCTGAACCTGGTTCCTCAGGCTCTTTGTGGTTTCTGGATGGGATGAGCTTTGTGAGCCTCAGGCTTCAGACCAAACAGGAAGTTCATGTTTGCATCTTTGATCCACGAAGTTTCTGTTTCAGCCTGAATCCTCAGGGATTCAGAAAACAAACAAACAAACAAACAAACAAACAAACAAACAAACAAACAAACAAACAAACTCAGTGCGAAACTCAGACACTCCAATCAGCTCAGATCAGCTCAGGAGATATTTTACTAACAGACGATGATCGCCTGCCTTTCATGATTAGGATCTGTCCTGTGCTTCAGGAGATATTTTGCTAACAGGGAGTTGTGTTGAGCATCATGCTCAACACAATGAAGCACAGGACAGATTCTAATGAAACTCAGCTGATTTTACAGAGACTGAGCTAAAGTTTAGTGCAGAACTTAACCCGGGTCAAAGTGAACAGGACCAGTTCTGGTTCAGACTGGGTCTGATGAACTCTGCTGCAGTCTGCACCTCACTGGGTTTCTATGCAATAAAAGCTAAACAGATGGTTTTATTATTGGAGTCGGCTTTTATTCTGAAATGTAATTTATTTTGAAAATATTCAAACTCTAGAAAGGGTTTTTGACAATCAGCTGACCGACTTATTTATTTCATTTCACTGGAAAAAGTCAAAGTATTTTATAATTTAACCAGTTGTTGTGTTTTTAACAAGCTGAACCAAAGTMTGTGTTTTTCTCTGAGTGTGTTTCTGTGTGGAGTGGGTCAGAACCAGAACTTAGACCTGCTGTATTCTCTGCATGTTTTCTCTTTGTTTACAGGGTTTGGGTTWAAAAAAAAAGAATCTTTTTCAAAAAATAAAAAGGTCAAGAAGACTTGACATGAGTTTGTTTCTTTAATGACCATTTTGACAACCTTTGGTTTCACTTATTTTATGTAATGTCTGGACCTCCTAAATAAAAATGTTTCTTATTTAAGTTTACATCAAATGTGACCCGTCACAAACAAGGATTAAGTCTAAAAGTGAAGCAGAGAAATAGCCAAATATATTTGGTCAAAATAAAACAAATAAATCCCTTATCAATGTTTAATTTGAATAAACTGTGTGAAATACGATAATAAAAAATTTTCGAAGCACTTTTTTGAGCAGTAGCAACAAAAAAACCTGATTTTGCAGAAAAACACCTGTAAGTTTTGAGATATTTTCCTGAGTGAGCAATTTTTTTGTTTCTTTCCAGCTGGGAAATCTCAATATTCAAATACTATTTGAAGTTTCCACTTCATAATGATATGAAAAATTCTTCATTAAAATGACTTAAAATTAGTATTCAGACCAAATATTAATGTAATATTGTAACCAGTAAGTATATCTGGTTCTGTTTATGATATCAGAATGATCCAGGTATGAAAATGTAGCTTTTTGTGATGAGATCATTTTAACCTAATTTGACTTAATCCTCATTTTGATTTAAGTCACAAATTAATATAATATTTAAATG